CATGAGCGGTCGCTTTGGTGACGAATGTGAACCCAGGTTTGGTCAGTCGCTCGTGTTTCCTCCGTGCCCGCCTCTGCCGTCCTCTGGCCCCGTGTGAGCTTGAGAGGCCCTCTGCCTTTAACGCCTCCTCCGGTAACAGTCCTTCGACCCATGTCGAGCACACAGTCTTTCCGCCGGGCTGTGGAAGTTTTTCAAAGTCCGCAGGAGGCCCAGGTAGCCCAAAGCGTTAGCATGTGGTCCATGAGGGTTGGTGAATAACCCAAACGTGCCGGTCACAATGGCTTCTTCTGTTTGCGGTGCGGGAACAACTTTCAAGGGGGTTTCCGCGGGTGCGTTTGGTATATCACGCTGCCCCCTCCGTGGAGAACAGTCACGGGATTTGGAGCAGTTTCTCTCTGTGCTCCAAAGCAGTTGTCGGTGTCTCACATATTTGCTTCCCCGTTTCTTCTTCTGTGGTTTCCTGAGCGTGTGTCTGTTTCCGCCTCTTCTTCTTCTGCGGTTTGGGCCCACTTCTCGCGGGGTCTCAGCTGGTGCGCGCGCCGCCTGTGGTTGGGGCGTGGGGCTGGTGCTTTGAGGCAGAGGACAGAGCGCGGAGGAAAGGCGCCGACAGACCTGGATAAGGGAGAGGGAAAAGAGACAACAGTAGTCTGCTCATTTTTTAAAAACCCAACGCCTTGTTTGGGTGCACACTTATTGTTAGTAGGGTAGGGTGGGGGTGTGGGGGATGTGTGTGTGTGTGCGCCTGTGTTTCTCCGCTTCGGTGAAAGGCGGAGGAGCTATTGTTTTTACATATTTCTTTCTCTAACCTCTTTTGCCGTGATATTCTTAAAACCAAGTATATTTTTTTTTCTTCCCTTCTTCTTCTAAATTATCACGCAAGATGCGTAATGGCCTGCACCATAGGCAAGCACTCCATAGCTTGCGTCTTCTAGATTGATTTTTACCCATTTTCTCGTACGAACAATGGGCCTAACCCGCTTAGTCTCTCCCTGCTCCTACCCACTTTGGGGCGCTCCGTTCCCCCCCCCGCTGGTTCAACCAGCGAGCGCGCGTTCTTGAAAACGGAGCGGTTCTGGCTGAAGACACTTGGAGATTCCAGGGTCGCTTACAATGCGATACTAACGCGCAGCCGCTAGTTTCAATCTAGAACAAAAAAAGCCCCCCAAAAAATCCCGCACACAGACTATGCTGTGGCAATGAATGAAATACCCCAAAAATACATAAATAAACAAATCCCCGTGTCGACTTAAGGGCTGCCCTGGGCTCGTTACGCAGATGAAAAGACAAGACTCACCAGATTAGGTTCTTTTTGGTCTTGTGTGGCAAAAGGATTCCTTCCGTGCGCGGGACGAGCGCGCCCTCCTTTGTCTCCAAAAAGGAACAGAGGCTGGTGATCCAGGTCGGCCAAACAAAGCCGCTCGTCCCCGCCGAAAGTATCCATGCCAAGACATGTCAGCAACGCCAAATTGTTAAGGAAGTTTCTACCCAATGAAGGAGAAAACTCAAAGGTCTTTGTCTTATCAAAAGCGTAAGTTTATTGTTAACATGCGTACGGAGAGTCAGCACATACAAACAAAGGCAGCATGTACTAGCTCTGAGGGCAGAGCCCCAAGTTTCCTGTATACAAGACACACACGAGAGACAGTCCAGTGTTTCCCACACATAGACTAATCTGTGGCGCACCGCCACAGATTAGAGACCGCCCGCCACAAATTGCGTTTCGTATTATTATATATATATTTTTTTTGTTACGCTATTTAAAACATGCATCGTCTAGTGCCGCCGCAGCGGTCAATTTGACAGCGGGGAGGGGGGTTTAAAATGTGGCGGCCCTTCGTAACTCTCACTCAAGCTACGCGTCTCTCCCACATACAGAGACCTACACACACACAGCCCCTCCCCTTCGTGCACACCGCGTGTCTCCGTCTCCATCAGCGATCATCGCTGTAAGCTGTGTCTATTAATTTACCGCGGTAAAGTGGCCCGCATCTTTCAGCTCTATGAACATGCGGCCCGCATCGGGGAAAAGACGGTGCGCGTTTTGTTGAGAACTTACGGTAACAGCGGAACGTCCTTTCGGAGTCACCCATTTTTATCGAACAGAAAGCGCGCTGGGGTCAGGGAGACACGTTTTTGTGATTAAAACCTTATAGAGATGCCACCCGTCACACATAGCACCAGCCCCCTACGATTCCTCCGGCAGATTGTGAGTCCTCAGGAGGATAGCCACTCTATTGTTTACATGTATAAAGTACACAATTTGGTCCGCTAGTGCAATTTTCAAGTATTGTAACTATTTACTGGAATAAGGTGTGCGACTAATTTCACTTGACTCATGACCTTATTATTGCCCTCTGCCACTGTACCAAAGACCAGAAACTTTTACTGTAGAAATATTGAGAAATATTGAGGTAAAGTAGCCATTTTGGTCCAAAATAGCCTAAAAATGGTCAAAACATGTCACATTTGATCTACTGTAACTTTTTACTGTAAAAAGGTGTGCGACTAATTTCACTGGATTCACGACCTCATGATTGCCCTCTACCACTGTACCAAAGACCAGAAACTTTTACTGTAGAAATATTGATTTAAAGCAGCCATTTTGGTCCAAAATAGCCTAAAAATTGTCAAAACATGTCACTTTTGATCTGCTGTAACTTATTACTGTAAAAAGGTGTGCGACTAATTTCACTGGATTCATGACCTCAAGATTGTCCTCTACCACTGTACCACTGTACCCCCCCCCCCCCCCCCCCCCCGCCGACCACCACACATTGCCTTCAAACCTGTGGGAAACACTGCAGTCCCGCCCATAACAGATTGGAGGGGGCCACCCGTGAGGAGGCGCATGGGGGGCGTTTGGCGCCGTCTGGGAACGGGGTGCGAACAGACAGACAATGGTCTAAATGCAGGTCATACAGATGCAAGACACGGAAGACACAAGGGTGTGACAGACAGCAGGACGTAGAAGATGCACACATACAGACCGATAGATATGCAAGAGGCGAAAGACACAAGGGTGTGACAGGCAGCAGGATGTAGAAGATGCACACATACAGACCGATAGATATGCAAGAGGCGAAAGGGAGGACAGTGATTTGCGCCATTGTCTGTAGGTGTCGGGGGGCCCGGCTCCTTCCTGGAACAGGGACATATGACATATGAATAGACACAGGCAGGGTTGCATGAATACTAGTCGCTTGCCATCACAGGACCAGCACCTGTGGTAGGATCAGTGAGGACCAGGATGATCAGAGAGGACCAGGAGGATCAGAGAGGACCAGGAGAAGCAGTGCGGACCAGGAGGATCAGAGAGGACCAGAAGGAGCAGTGTGGACCAGGAGGATCAGAGAGGACCAGGAGGATCAGAGAGGACCAGGAGGATCAGAGAGGACCAGGAGGATCAGAGAGGACCAGGAGAAGCAGTGCGGACCAGGAGGATCAGAGAGGACCAGAAGGAGCAGTGAGGACCAGGAGGATCAGAGAGGACCAGGAGGATCAGAGAGGACCAGGAGGATCAGAGAGGACCAGGAGGATCAGAGAGGACCAGGAGGATCAGAGAGGACCAGGAGAAGCAGTGCGGACCAGGAGGATCAGAGAGGACCAGGAGAAGCAGTGCGGTCCAGGAGGATCAGAGAGGACCAGGAGAAGCAGTGCGGACCAGGAGGATCAGAGAGGACCAGGAGGATCAGTGAGGACCAGGAGGATCAGAGAGGACCAGAAGGATCAGTGAGGACCAGCACCTGCAGTAGGATCAGGGGCTGGTCTGCTCACTTCCTCCCGACCCAGAAACAGAAACAGGAAAAATGAATGGAAGTTAAATATAAAAATTTTTGCGATTTCCCAAAACTGACAAACTAACATCGCCGCCACTGCCTGTTATTCACTCAAATTAAGATTAGGATTAAGGAAACTACAAGATAAATTAATATATTTATAGAATAGTCATCCACAACATTTATAACAAATCCTCCAAAGGTAAATCCAGACAGAAACACATTGAAATTGTGTGTTTTGTCTCTTTGTTTGTCCTTGTGTGTAACCTTTGAGCCGCTGACGTTGTCGTGGAGATAGTTACATAAATCCTTTCTACAGCTCAAAGAATCAAACCATCGCTGCTTAGTCTGAACTTATTTAAAACAGTGGCTTTTATTTGAGGAATGTGACAAGTGAAAATACAGGAAGTGTGTTTTTTAAAGTAGTCAGTTGTGTTTTAGTGTCGGATTCACCGGAGCTATTTTTAGGAGGTGTCCGCACGGCCCCGAGCGAGGAGGAGATCAACAAGTGACCAGAGAGTTTCCTGCCTTTTATTATCTTTTCTTTTTTAAATTGAATTATTTATTTACTCTATATTTTTGAGTTTTTGCCTTTAGAGTTCGATTGGTCAAAATGTCATGGTTCAAAAACATAATAAGGCGACAATTATAATGCAAAGGAAAAGATTACGACTTAAAAAAATAATAATTATAATCATAACAAATAAGAAAAAAATACAAAACAAAATGTTGAAGAAAAAAAAAAAAAGTCTATATAATAATAAAATATATACCAAAAAATAGAATAAAATACAGAAAATAAAAAAAATATCTATGTAATTTGTGTTTCTATAATCTATATATTGTAAACCGCTCTGTGACTGGTCTGTTAAAGGCGCTACATAAATAAATATTACTCACTTTTTTACTTAATCTGTGATAGATTTGAGCACTTCCACTTTACATACACTTTAAAAACTGAAATTAGGATTTTATTTTAACACTGTCTGAGTTTAAACTTCAGAACTTTGGGCTGTAAATTGGGCTTGTTAGTTGTCAATAATTTAGCAATCGGTTCCTATTCTTTTAAACCTTTGATAAACTTAAAGCTGGGGTACCTGATTTTGAAACCAAACAATTAAATGATTATCCCTATATCTGAAAATAAATAGATAATTCAAGAAACCTCCCAATTTCTTTCATCTAATAGTTATAATTTGCTCCGTTCCACTGTGCAGCCCAGACATGGCAGAGACAGAGGTGAAGAGAGCAAAGCCCACAGCACCTGTAGCACCTTTAGCACCTGTGCCAGTGGAGCCGACGGAGCAGAAGGCAAAGAGCAAAGAGCCGTGTAAGACGTGTCAGAAGCACAAGGCTCCTGGTGAGTGAGTCTGAGGCAGTGCATCATGGGAATGATTCTCTCTGGCTCCTGCTTCCAGTGTGACGCTCTCATTCGCCCGATCTGTGTCTTTGCTCTGGCTTCCTGCACATTTTAGAGTCGATTTTAATTAGAGTCGAATTTGGTTGGTTTGTTTTTAAAGCTTTGAATGTACGGGTCGTTGTAACAGTATCATCTCAGACTGAAGACCCAAGACCAGACTTAAACCCAGAGTCCAGGGCCTTCTCTGTGGTATTAAACCCAGAGTCCAGGACCTTCTCTGTGGTCTTAAACCCAGAGTCCAGGACCTTCTCTGTGGTCTTAAACCCAGAGTCCAGGGCCTTCTCTGTGGTCTTAAACACAGAGTCCAGGGTCTTCTTGGGCGGCACGGTGGCTGAGTGGATAGCACTCTTGCCTCTCAGCAAGAAGGTCCTGGGTTCGAATCCCGGTCGGACCAGGGCCTTTCTGAGTGGAGTTTGCATGTTCTCCCCGTGTCTGCGTAGGTTTCCTCCGGGTACTCCGGTTTCCCCTACCACTAAAAATATGTCCAATAGTTCTAGAATGCGCCTCCTGTACCGGCAACCCCGCTCCCATCTCTGTGTGGAGTGAGAGATAAATGCCCATAATTAACAATTGTAAACCGCTTTGAGACTCTGATCTGCAGTGAAAAGACGGTATATAAATAAAGATTACTTACTTACTACTACTTCTCTGTGGTCTTAAACCCAGAGTCCAGAACCTTCTCTGTGGTCTTAAACCCAGAGTCCAGGACCTTCTCTGTGGTCTTAAACCCAGAGTCCAGGGCCTTCTCTGTGGTCTTAAACCCAGAGACAGGGCCTTCTCTGTGGTCTTAAACCCAGAGTCCAGAACCTTCTCTGTGGTCTTAAACCCAGAGTCCAGGGCCTTCTCTGTGGTCTTAAACCCAGAGTCCAGAACCTTCTCTGTGGTCTTAAACCCAGAGCACAGGGCCTTCTCTGTGGTCTTAAACCCAGAGTCCAGGGTCTTCTCTGTGGTCTTAAACCCAGAGTCCAGAACCTTCTCTGTGGTCTTAAACCCAGAGTCCAGGGTCTTCTCTGTGGTCTTAAACCCAGAGTCCAGGACCTTCTCTGTGGTCTTAAACACAGAGTCCAGAACCTTCTCTGTGGTCTTAAACCCAGAGCACAGGGCCTTCTCTGTGGTCTTAAACCCAGAGTCCAGGGTCTTCTCTGTGGTCTTAAACCCAGAGTCCAGGACCTTCTCTGTGGTCTTAAACCCAGAGTCCAGGGTCTTCTCTGTGGTCTTAAACCCAGAGTCCAGGACCTTCTCTGTGGTCTTAAACACAGAGTCCAGAACCTTCTCTGTGGTCTTAAACACAGAGTCCAGGGTCTTCTCTGTTTTAAGTCTCGCCTTCAAACCCACTTTTATTTTCTGCCTTTTATCATCGCTTGAGTGGTGTGGTCCTCACTTTGTTGTCTTTAAAAAAATATTTTTGGATGGCTTTTTTATATATATATATATATTTTTAATTAATTAATTTCATTATCTTTATATAAGAAAGTCTGTGAAAGCTTATACAAGGCCATACAACTCCACGTCACTTATATCTATGTGCATCACTTTGGAAACTGTTCATACAATGTGCTATACTAATAAAGTGGATCGAATCATGTCGTTGCTTTGGCTGTTTTTATGCTCCCTTCAACAGTTTCTTAGTTGCTTGTTTTCCACTAGTATTTTGGTCCGTTGTTGTCACTAAAACCCTGTCACATGTTGTTTTGATGCTCTGGTGCAAAAGTGAGAAATCTAAAAAAAACAACTCCTATTCTTCTTCTTCCTCCGCAGGAAACATGGCCGTCCCTCCAGCGTACGCCGATCTGGGAAAGTCCGCCAAAGACATCTTCAGCAAGGGCTTCGGTGAGTCATGGCAACAACATGCACCAGAGAGAGCGGAAAATAACACAAATACAACAATTATGAAGCAATTTGGGGAGTAGCGCCACAATCTTTGCTAGCGATTACATTTGCTAAACATTCCTCTTGCTCCGGCTTCAATTTCTTGATAGAACCAGACCGGATTACTTAACTATCGCATTCTTCGCCATTGCCAAACTACAACCTGCCCGTTCGACGCAAACTCTTGACGTCGCCTACATCTAACTACAACACCCGCCTCCCGCGCTCGCTGATTGGTCGGATGGAATTCAACCGATTGTAATCGCAAACACAGGGACCAGACCCAGACGTTACATGCAGGAAAAGATGATTGACCGGAGTGTACGGATGGATAAGGCGAAGCCTTATCTTATCTTATCAGATAAGATAAGATAGACTAAATTGAACTCACACTGGAGAAATGTACATGTCACATTTGGCACAGTATAAATACACTTCCTTTCAGTAAAAAAAATGACAGTTTGCATATTTCTCATTTTAGTTTTGTTTCATTGCTAACGTACTTAGCAAAAACAACTTCATTAGTTACAGAGTTAGAGTTTTGAATTTATTGAGTTATTGTTCCTTTAATCTTACTGCTCTGTAACTTGTGATGCAACACTGAAATGTCCCCGCTGTGGGACAAATAAAGAATCTCTAAAGCCTAGTTTATACTCGCGCGGCGCGGAGCTTACGGAGGTGACGTGACGTCACTTGCGCAACGCGTTGGTCACCGCAAGGCCCTTACGTCGCCTGCCGCGCAGCATCGAAATTTTCTAACTACGTAAGGGTCGCCGCAAGGAAGCTCCGCTGTGATTGGTCCGTGTGTGTGTATTGGAAGGAAGCACGAAGCGGCTGCAGCAGGAGCATGGACGAGGCACTATGGAGCAGAGAGCTTTGTGCTTCGAAGGAAAAGCAGTTTGGGCTCAGAGCCTGATATACAGGAGACTGTGGACTATCTAACATATATATAACATATATCTAACTTATATCTAACATATATATAACTTATAAACTGTGCAGTCGTTTGTTTTGCACTGTTCCTGTCTTTGTTTGAATCGTAGCTGCGTTTGTTGCTTTCCTCCTGCACTCGTAAATCGTTCATGTTTGTCTCAGATATTTACCACTATTATTGTTTTGCTGTTTGTGCTGAAAACTATTTAATAATAACTATGTTTCCAACAAAAACTGTGTCTTTATTCACTGCATCACAGTTGAAATGACTTAAAAAAATAATGAATCCATAAAACTATCACATAAACCTGAAGTAGAAACACGTGTAATGAGCTCAAACAGCTTTGTTTGCTATTGTTGTTCTGAAGAGGACAAAGTAGCAGCGTAAATGGGACCGCTCCTGTGTGATCGCCCTCATGTGGTTTGTTGTGGGATTACAACATTCTCCTCAAAACTCCGTAAGGGGAACGCGCCAGTATAACATCAATTGTGCTTACGTAGGTCCACCGCAACCGCTAGGCTTTAATCTTAAAACTCTTTTTATGGACACATTGGACCTTTTTATTTTGTTTATTTTGTGTTTGGCGTCTGAGTGTTCAAAAAAAGTACAGAACGTTGTTAAATTCAGGCAGGTACATGTTTTTGTTTGGAGCAGTAATTGCAGCTTATCTACAAATTAAAACAACTTACATTTTTCTTGCACTTATTCTCAGGTTATGGCATTCTGAAGCTGGACATCAAGACCAAGTCCCAGAATGGAGTGGTACGTGTCTTTGTAGTGTACCCAACTGTTCGGAAACTGCTTCTTTGATTTGACATTCTGTTCTTTGGAGTAAAAATATGGGTCACATTTTAGTTCAGTCCTCACTAAACCTACCCCAGATTGTCCTTCCCACTATTTAGTCCCTTTTCTACATGGCCTTATTCTACTTCTAACTACTAACTATCATAGTGTGTCACACCTCATCCTGACATACAGCGACGTGAGCGAGTGAGCAATAAAAAGTGATTAGAATGCGTATGTTTCAATCAGAAAAGTCCAGCATTGACTCGGACCCCTGAAAAAAACGCTCGCCTTGTCTCTATTTGGACGACTTTTCGTGGCTGCGTCCCGCCCCTAAACACTTCTTATTGGTTGAAACACACTGCTTCCTGTTGACACGCTATGGATCAAGAGAAGCTAGTTTTCATAGTGCCGCAATATCTCAAGATATACGACCCAAAACACCCGTACCACAAAGACCTCAACCAGGAAATGTCAGTTGTCTCAAAAAGAGCGGCAGAAATGTGTTTTTGTTCCTCGATGATTTTGATTGGATTGGATTCTAAACCAATTGAGAATGAGGAGTTGACGTCACGGCACAGAGTCCCCCCTCCCCATCCCCCCTTTGCCGACATATTGGCTGCGCACCGGTGGCGGCAGTACAGTTTGTTTACGTGTGTTGTGAACGCGGTAGTAGCGGAGGTTCTTGCTATTCCGCACTGTTTTATCATGCCTGGAAATAACTGCTGCGTTAAAAACTGCTCCAATACCTCCCACGATGGATATGGAAAACCTAGTAACAACGGGATACAGTTTTTTAGGTTACCGAAATGGAAAAAGCATCAAGGGGAGCAATTCTCTGACCTGACAAGGAGACGTCGGATTGCTTGGTTGGCTGCAATTAGAAGAAAGGACCTTACTTTCGATCACACACCCCTGTCGACGAGAGTGTGTTCTCTGCATTTTCACTCTGGTACGTTCTCTAAAAATGTATTTATGTAGTTGTCTCTTAAAGCTAGGAAGTGTAGGTTAGCATATGTTATTATGGTTTCTGTAGTGCCTTTGTCTCTGTGTCTTTGTTACCCTCTCAGGCTGTTTCTTACTTAGCACGTGTTCTGCGAGGTCTTTGCCAGTGTAAAGCATAGATTACATAGATTGTACACATAATCTAATTATTCTGTTGTACATAAACCTTCATATGACATTATGAGGTGACCTAAAAAGTACTTGAGATGCTGTTCATGACATAGTTGCCAGTTTAAAGCATTGATTACATAGATTGTGCAAATTATTATATTAATTATATGTTGTTATTATTCTCGTGTAGGTAAACCAGCATATGAGATGTTGGAGAACCACCCTGACTGGACACCATCCCTGTTGTTAGGCCACAATGATGTACAAAAAACAGATGAAGCGAGATATCAGCGGCAAGTAAGGCGCAGGTCCCTGCCACTGGAGCGGCAGCCACCTCCAGCCCAACACCAGCCGCAGGCGCCGCCGCCTCCAGCCCTAGACCAGCTGCAGCCGCCACCAGCCCTAGACCAGCTGCAGCCGCCACCAGCCCTAGACCAGCCGCAGGCGCCGCCGCCTCCAGCCCTAGACCAGCTGCAGCCGCCACCAGCCCTAGACCAGCTGCAGCCGCCACCAGCCCTAGACCAGCCGCAGGCGCCGCCGCCACCAGCCCTAGACCAGCCGCAGGCGCCGCCGCCACCAGCCCTAGACCAGCCGCAGGCGCCGCCGCCACCAGCCCTAGACCAGCCGCAGGCGCCGCCGCCGCCAGCCCTAGACCAGCTGCAGCCGCCACCAGCCCTAGACCAGCCGCAGGCGCCGCCGCCACCAGCCCTAGACCAGCCGCAGGCGCCGCCGCCGCCAGCCCTAGACCAGCCGCAGGCGCCGCCGCCACCAGCCCTAGACCAGCCGCAGGCGCCGCCGCCGCCAGCCCTAGACCAGCCGCCAGCTGACCCGGACATGGAATGTGGACTCTGCACATCTAGACGAGATGTTATCAACAATCTTCTTGAAGAAAACAGACAGCTGAAGCGTGAGCTTGATACGTACCGGATGAATGAGAACTTTCTGAGTGGTGATGATAACACAGTGAAGTATTACACGGGGCTTCCAAACTTTGCATTGTTCCAGACACTTCTACTCTACCTAACTCCAGATCTGCCTCAAGGTAGAATGAAGAAGCTCTCACCCTTCCAGCTTGTCCTATTGACTTTAATGCGCCTCAGACTGGACCTTCCAATACAGCACCTCAGCCATCTGTTTAGAGTACATAGGACAACAGACGCTGATGCCTTTCACCATACCCTTGGTGTGATGTACGCACAGCTGTGTCCATTGGTGCACTGGCCAAGTAGGGAATGCTTATTGACCAGTATGCCACACCAGTTTGTGGAGTCATTTGGGAACAATGTGGCTGCCATTGTGGACTGCTTCGAGGTGTTCATCGAGAAACCTTCCAATGTACTAGCAAGGGCACAGACTTTTTCTCAATACAAACACGCATACACTATGAAATACCTAATCGTGATCACGCCCCAGGGTGTAATTTCCTTCATATCGAACGGGTGGGGTGGGCGCACAAGCGACAAGCATATAACCGAGCAAAGTGGTTTCCTGAACAAGCTGTTACCAGGTGACATTGTGCTGGCAGATAGAGGCTTTAATATAAGAGAACATGTGGGCATGATGTGTGCTGAAGTGAAAATACCTACATTCACCAGGGGTCGTGCTCAGCTTGAGGCGAAAGATGTGGAGGAGACTAGGGCCATAGCACATCTCAGAATTCACGTGGAGAGGGTGATCGGTGTTGTGCGCAACAAATTCAAATTCTTACACTCAACTGTACCTGTGCACATGCTTGTCAAATGTGAGGGTGAAAACCTAATGCCTTTGGATAAGATTGTCATTGTTTGCTGTGCCTTAACGAACATGTGCAAAAGTGTTGTTTGAGTACCTTATTCTTTACTGTATCTTTTATTTTTAAATAAATGCATGAAACAACTTGATATGGTTTACCAATATTTATTGAGAAATTAATATTTTTTTTGTTACAAACGTGTGCAGTCAAAGTACTGTTTCCAGCATGTAAACATGCCCAACATAGGTAAAAATGATAATAAGAGTCATACTTTTCTTAGTGCAAAGGGACACAAAACACTGCTAAACAACGTGTGCATTCAAAGTACTGTTTCCAGCATGTAAACATGCACAGCATAGGCAAAAATGATCATAAGAGTCATACTTTTCTTAGTGCAAAGGGACACAAAACACTGCAAAACAACGTGTGCATTCAAAGTACTGTTTCCAGCATGTAAACATGCACAACATAATAAAATAAATTATAACATAAATAATAATAACAAAATAAGACTGTTATTAGTGCAAATGTACAAAAAAACACTGCAAAGGCACACAGCAATAACAATAATACAATTTTAAGAAATAGGAAAAACCTATTCTGCACAACAAGGGCAAAACCATGGCGTGTCACCAGAGGGTTTATTAACAAGCCCCACACAACTGAAGTGAAACCACTGGACTGGGCAGTTCTGGTTGTCACAGGCCACCATGTCACCCTCCTCTGGTCCAGAACAGAGACACCACACTTCCTTGGCTTTTGGTATGAGCTTGTTCCTATACGGTCCCTTCTCTTTCGCCTTATCTCTAAGCATTGTTTTACTGTCTTCCTTTCCCTTGTTGTATCAGTAGATCCGTCTCTGTCTCGCCGAAAACGTAAATGCGTATAATTTAAAGTGCTCTGGAATATGAGGAGCGCGTGAAATTCTGGGGGCGTGCCCCCGTTGCGCAGCCAATATGTCCGACAGGCTCAGAGCCCCCCCAAATCACCCCAACTCGGCACGTGACTCCTCATTCTCAATAGAATCCTTCGCAATAAAATTGTCACGCTGCTAATAAAGACACTTTTGCGCGACATTTTGTAGTGGCGTCGCTCGCTGTATGTCAGGATTAGGTGTTGGAGTTAGGGTTAAGCACTAATTAGCACCAAATTAGCTGTTAAATAGTGAGGGCTAAACTAAAGTGTTACCAAAATATGTGTTATTATTAAAACCTGACTCTCGCTCTCTTTGACTTGGCATGAAAACATAACTGTGTATGTTTGAGGCTCGCTAGCATGGATGTGTTTACTCGAGGCCTGTCACATTAGGAACATGGAAAACATGATTTATTGATTCAGAAGAATATTGTAAAAAATATTGTATGTACCAATTCATTCATTCATTCATTCAACATGTAGCTACCACAATACAACAGTTAAAACATAAAATATACTTATTCAATCCACGCTCTGACTTTAGCACTAGAACTCCCAGAGCAGTCAATTTGACGGTTTTTAGTTTTGGTGTAATTGTAATCACATTTACTGGTTCTGCGCTGTGTGTCGGCTCCACCTGAAAAAAATGTCAGTTACTGTAGCAACACATTGTTTACTCTTAGCTGTTAGCATATTAGCCTAGCATTAGCTTATCAACAAACGGTTTTTGCTGTATTGTTATATTAACCAGTTTTTTTTGCACTTATTAAAAGTGAGTAAAGTTAATAAATAAATAAAAAAAAGACTTGGAAAATGACTTGCTTTTTATAAAACTTGGTCAAAATTTTAACCTGTTTTTTTTTTGAATTTCTCAAAATTCCATGAATTTGATTTGGTGCAGTCCAAAATGGCTGTTTGGTCTTAATTTAAAGAACACATTATGCTAAAAATATATTATCTATGTATTTTCTTAACTATGGCAATCCAGTGACAGGCCTTGTGCATTTCAATTCCAAAATATCTAAAATGTTCTTTCCTGGTGTTTTGGGCTAACCTTGTGTGTTCTGTCTTTCCTGCTGTCTGTTGGATGTGCTCTCAGATGGTAAGAATGTGCATGTAATCATTAACCTCATGTTTGAAGTGTAAACCAGTGCTCAGTGATGCAATGGCGAGAGCTGTCGTCTCTCAGTAAGAAGATTTATTTAGTTCTGGTAGATTCTACAAGTTTATTCCTCTTTTTAAGACTGGAATTGTCACAGGTTGTCTTCCACACCTGGGATTCTGTCCTGAAAAAGCCGGACTGCAGATGGCGCTGTCGTCCTGCCTCTAATGGTAGGAAGACAGTGCTAAAATATTCTGTAAAATACACAGACCGTATAAAATGCCCTATAAAAATATGGAATAAGCCAATTTAAACGTAAGCTAGCTGGAGCCAATTTCCGTAAATGGGCATTTGTTCTGACAGTGTTAGCTTTGCACCGTAGCAGGGGTAGATGTGTTGCTAAGATGGTTGCTAAGGCAAGCTGGAGTTTCCCTCGCTAACAAAGGCACCTGATTGGTCTATCGCTATATGGCTCATGTCTGGATTTAAAAAGACAATCTCACAATTTACACCGGGATCACAGCGGGCGCTAAACCACAGTTACTCAGCTAGAGGACTTTACTTTTTAATGTAAATCAATAAGAGCACTTTCCTATTGGGCGTCATTGAGCTAGCCCGTTAGCATTGTCCAACCATATACAGTCTATGGTCAAACAGCTGACAAGACACATCACATGACCACTCTGGTCGTGGGTTGAAATTATCCAGTAAAAAGTCAATTTAAAATGCTGTTATTTCAATTATGCTTGAAACCATGAGAAATTGCAGAATAAACAAAACTGCATTGTTTAGCATTATTTATTTTCGCATGGATCTGTTTCATACTGAAGTACTGGTGTTAGTATTAAATTGTGTTCAGTAGCTGCATTTTCCAGCTCTTTTCTTCCCTGTATACATTTTTGCACTTTTATCCTATCATAGTATTATCTGTTAGTCTCTTAGGTTGATATTAACGGCTTATTAACTGAGCGCGAGGTCTGTATGGAGATTTATTAGGTCTGATATTTCTCTGCACAGACCGAGCAAGCGAGGTTAATAAATGTTTTGTTATATGACTCTCGTCTGTGGGTTTACCAATGCTTTTAAGATATTTGTGAAGTATGTTCATGTCCAACTTGGTTTTGTGTGATACGGTCTGTGGACCGATTGTCATGGTAACGGTCCAAGGAAAGATATCAAATGTGATACGCGCTGTTCGGACCAATTGTCATGGTAACGGTCTGAGATGGGAAAATATCAAGCCGCAAATCAACCAATCAGAGCGCGCGTACGGTCCAAGTCATATAATAAGGATTTATATTGTCTACATCTGGAACTAAAAATGAAAGAAATTGAGCCGTAGTCAAGAACCAAAAGTCCTGTTTTAGCTCTAAGATTGTACTTGAAATGCCTAATACTTAAATATGCCTACTTGGGAGGAAATATAAGTAAAGTCACTATTGTAATGAAAAAGGTACAGTTTTAACCATTTAGATGCAGGGTTATCCATGTTTGCTGCGTGGACGTGGACTGGCTGGTTCCACTGCACGAGAATCACATGTCAAAAAACAATACTATTATTTTCTCCATTTTATTTTCTCGTTCCAGGAGTTTGCCACCTCTGGGTCCAGCAACACGGACACAGGGAAGTCCGGCGGTCACCTGGAGACCAAGTACAAGCTGAGCGACCTCGGCCTCAGCTTCAACCAGAAGTGGAACACGGACAACACGCTAACCACAGAGATCACCATGGAGGACCAGGTGGGCTTTCATATATATATATCTACACACATGTGCCATATACATAAAGGGGATTTTTCATATTCTCTTCCCCTATCCTGTGTCGGAAATAGTCTGGAATGGAAAAGGCTTAGACCAGTTTGATCTCAAATGACATGCAAAAGTTGGACAAAACCAATCATATCTGAGCAGTATTTTCTTCTGGTGTGTGTATGTGTTGTGTTACTTTTAAGGGAAGAAATGTGTTTAAAAGCACCACATGATACAAAGATTATATATTTTCACGGACAAAACAACTCAACTTTTCAGGCTGTTTTAAAGCTCGGGTGAGTAACTTTTAAGCATCAGAAAGCTATGTAATGTAATCAAAGTAACAGATTGGTTCTATCTCTGTCTGAAAAAGCGGATCTAAAAATAGACAAAGGCCAAAACGTGTGAAAAGTAGTTTTGAGAGCTTGGATTTTAGTTCCATAGTTATTAGTTTTATGGTTTCAAAGTTATGTACCCCAGCTTTAATTTGAGCAGCAGTTTTAGATTCCACATGTATGAATTTGAGTTGTTTCTCTTGTGTCTACAGCTGGCGAAGGGACTGAAGCTCGGTTTGGACACAGCCTTTGTGCCGAACACCGGGTGAGTCGATAAATAACTGTTGATATGTTTTACCAAATCACCTTCAAACCAAAGTAAAAAGATCTGCAAAACAAATCACAAATGTTTGCTCTCTGGTCTCAATCTCTGGTCTCTCTGATGTCTCCTTCTGTTCTCTCCCTCTTTTTTCTTTCCTGGTCTCTCTCTGGTCTCCCCTGGTCTTTCTGGTGCCTCCTTCTGCTCTCTGTCTTTTCTCTTTCGTGTCTCTCGCTCTCTGGTCTCTCTCATGTCTCTTTCTGGTCTCTCTCTGGCCTCTCACTGGTCTCTCTGGCCTCTCTTTCCTCTCTCTCTCTCTTGCCTCTCTCTGGCGTCTCTCTGGCCTCAATCTGGTCTCTTTCTGCTCTCTCTCTCTGGCCTCTCTCTGGTCTCTTTCTGGTCCTTCTTTGTTCAAAATTAGTTTTGTCAGTTTCTCTGGTGAAAGGACGTTCTTTACAATCACACAAATTCTGCTCCCTCTAGTGGGAGCTTAGGGGTAGTGCAGGCTGATAGCATATCACTCTTCATACTTGATATTATTACACAATCTAACTCATAAACTGACAAATCAAATAATCTCATTCTCATTTTTACCAGACATAAATGTATTGTATTTCTTCTTTCAGTTATATTCACAGGTTTGCAAGCCCCTATAAATGTGCCTTTGATCCGCAGGAAGAAAAGTGCCAAAGTGAAGAGTGCGTACAAGCGTGAGTTCATAAATGCCAGCTGTGACCTGGTTCTGGACGGAGCGGGGCCCACGGTTCACGCCGCTGCGGTCCTGGGCTACGAGGGCTGGCTGGCCGGGTACCAGGTCGCCTTCGACACGGCCAAGTCGGTACTGAGCCAGAACAACTTCTCCATCGGGTACAAGGCCGGGGACTTCCAGCTGCACACCAACGTGTAAGATAAGATACTCATACTGTGGTCTCAGGAAAACCCTCTGGTCTCAGTAAAACCCTCTGGTCTCAGTAAAAAAGGCTGAATAAGTCACTTTTATGGCTTGTTGCTTTATTCTACTTTTTTTTTTACTCAGGCCAATTACGGTTAAAATATATTCCAAAAAAGGTTTCGTGGGATTCTCCTGTTGTATTTAAAGCTGCCTTTAGGACTGTTACAATAATCATATCAATACATCAACTACAGATTGTTCAAGACTTGTGGGTGCTGCGGATCCAGATCCAGACCCAGTGTGGACCCGACAGAGCAGACCATATACACCCGAGCTCCTGCCACCGAGCAATAGAAAGAGGCTATTGTTTGGGTTGCCAAATTGTTAGGTGAAATTTAGCTTTTCTATTTTTTCACAAATATCAACATTCCCTGAGGAACCTAACCTTTTGTTTGGACTGGTGACGAGTTTGAAATGATGATTTCTTGAGTGATCCATCGACTGATTTCATGATGATCTCAAGATTCTGACCAAAAATGCTTCACCAGAAAACTGTTATATTAGCAACACTTCAGCCCAACAGCAGAGGGCGCTGTGGAGCACAAACTCCACAGCACAAACTGACTTTTTTTTACATGAATAAATCCATGAAATTCAGGCAGCTTTCTTATGCATGTGTATCGCCACCTGCATGTGAAGCCAGGTCCTGTCAAACCTCTGAAGATAAGCAGGACAAGGCCTGATTAGTACTGTGATGGGAGACCTCTGGGAACACCAGGAGCCACAGTAGGGCGGCTGTAAAGTGCCCAACTGTTGTTGTGTCCTTAGGCAAGACACTTCACCCACATGGCCTAGAATGAGTCTGGTGTGTGTGGGGTTGGTGGTGGTCAGAGGGGCTGATGGCACATACTGGTTGCCTTGCTTCTGTCAGTGTGGCCCAGGGCAGTTGTGGCTTCAGTAGTAGTGTCACGAACTGGCTCGAGGTTCGGACAAACTGGAGTCCACACATGTTTCAAAAAGGTACCAAAAATAGAATATTTATTTAAAAGGCTGCTACTGCCAGGTGAGAGAGGCCCATCAACTTCCTGACAGCACTTTTGAATGTGGCCAGTCCCACCCATCTCAGGGGCTGCCAGTCCCAATCAGCTCTCCTATTGGCTGGATCCTGAAAAGGAGGAGAAAGCCAGCAGCAACACACAAAGCAGACAAGACTGGGGTCGTCACACCCTCCCCCTTAAGTCACCAAGTCAAAAACCAAGGGTTTTTGTAAAACAAATGAACAACCCCAGAGTTAGGAAGTCCAAGTGCAAATTCAATATTTGTAAGTTACACTCACCAAGCTTTTGGAATCTCCACACCCTTGTTGAACAAGGGTTTTTTTTTTTCAAAGCGTTGATCTGGAGATGTGGTGGTGACAAACAATGAACCCATTCAAAAACTCAGAATGGAGGCAACCATGTATAGCGCCACCTGCCTCCAGAGAATGTTGCACTCAATTATCCTTTCTCCAACAATACAATTACAAAAGGCAAAGTTACAAGTTGAGCCACACAGACTCAACTAAAAACCAAACATCTCTCATCAAGCCAACAAACCAGACAACCTATAGAAAATACCATCCAAACAAATCAGCCCTTTTGATAGTGCTCAGGGACCAACACAGCGAAACAGGCAACCAAATGTAAATGACAATGCAAAATCAAGCGCTACTTAACGTAACCAAGTAAGAGTACACAACTTACAAAACCCAAAGATTATAGCAACAAATGTAAGCCTAGAACTTACCAAACCAAAACCTATAACCAAACAAAAGTAAGTGTGAACTACTTACAAAACAGAACTCAGTTTAACAAAAGGCTCCAGTCAAAGAAAACCATACTAAATGAGTCCAGATCCCCTCTACCTCAGGCCTCACTGTCTAAGCTGGACCCTAGTCTTCGTGCAGTCACATGTGATGGGGTATTATGCACATAAAACCAGCGGAGTGATTGGAGAAACAAACCCCTTCACATCCCTGGAAGTGCTCCCGAGCCGATGTAGGGGAAAGGGAATTGGGAAGCTCTACCCACGTTCACTGCAGCCTAAAACAGAAACACCACGAGTATCCTGTTGACACTCGCTGTTAAACCTAACAGGGGTTGACTCCAAAAATGGCTATACAAATGGTCATACCAAAAACCAAGAGACCATACAAACAAAACCTGGGCCTAACTGAGTAACAAATGTATATGAAAACAGAATGAGCACTAAACAAAAAGCTGTAGATTCACCACAAACATGTGTGACTCAAACAACAAGTAGTTACTAAAACAACTGAAAGCAACTACTGAACTAGAGGTAAAACCATACAACCTGGGCAAGGTCAACCATCTTGACCTCCCATTTCCAGGAACAGATCCCGGATGAGCCCCCATTTGTCACGAACTGGCTCGAGGTTCGGACAAACTGGAGTCCACACATGTTTCAAAAAGGTACCAAAAATAGAATATTTATTTAAAAGGCTGCTACTGCCAGGTGAGAGAGGCCCATCAACTTCCTGACAGCACTTTTGAATGTGGCCCGTCCCACCCATCTCAGGGGGTGCCAGTCCCAATCAGCTCTCCTATTGGCTGGATCCTGAAAAGGAGGAGAAAGCCAGCAGCAACACACAAAGCAGACAAGACTGGGGTCGTCACAGTAGTTTATCACCATGAATGAATAATGACATATAAAGAGACTTTGAGTGTCCTAAAGGCGCTGTATAAAAGCAATGCATTATTATTAAACTATTTCAAACGCTTTCATATGAAATGGTGTCTTTCTGTTGTAGGAACGATGGTACAGAGTTTGCTGGTTCCATTTACCAGAAGGTGAACAGCAGCCTGGAGACGGCGGTGAATCTGGCCTGGACCGCGGGCAGCAACAACACACGCTTTGGGATTGGGGCCAAGTATCAGCTGGACAAGGACACATCCCTCAATGTGAGTGTGTCTGCCAGGGTCGGACATCCAGCCGACAGCACACTCCACGGATGATGTCACAGGCTCAGACAAACACTACTTTAATAATTCTATAATCAGAATCATTTTGAGTGTACTCTGAAATACCTATGTTTTCCTTCACAGGCCAAAGTGAATAACACCTGCCTTGTTGGAGTTGGATACACACAGACACTCAGGCCCGGTTCGTATTCATTTCATTTTTTCTTATATTGATCACTGCCTCGGTCTGTCACAAAAACTACTATTAACCCACATCACGGGTAACAATGTAACAAGAAGAAGCATTCCTTGAGCTTCAATTTTCAATTCAATTTACTTTTGTATAGCCCTAAATCACAACAGAAGTCGTCTCGGAGGACTTTACAAAACAGATCAGAGAATCAATGATAACAAACACATAGGAGGCCCATAGGGAGCCAGAAATGTATGATTGTTGTCCAGAAACGTTAATAAATATCCAGAAATCAGAGTCAGTTTAATTAGGGCTGGGCGATAAAACGATAACGACGATATATATCGCGATAGACATGTGTTCGATATCAATAGAGAATGGGGTAGATAGAATGTTCGATAGTTTAACTTAACTCCGTCAGGAAAAACAGGAAGAAAACACCGGAAGTAAAGCCGACTCATAAGCGCATGGCATTGTGGGGGATGTAGGCAGAGGCTTCTCGACCAATAACAGCCGAGCAGGAACCGCAAAACTTTGTGGGAAATGCAAAAACACCAACAACCGCACCATGCGTAGCTCATGGATCTATAGCTCGTGTTTCAATGCCGTGTCAATGGTTGTGCACGTACGTGCGCGGAATAACATGTGCGGCGGCAGAGGCAGTGGACAGACACCATGTATTCGGCGAAAGCAAGAGATTAACTTTTTCCTCGGGAAGCATGTGCGGCACAGAGAGCCGCACAGAGCGGTCACGGGGACACAAGACCCTCAAACAGCTAAACCAGGAGCTAAACCAGGAATAAAAAAACAGGATTAAACCAGGACTAACAACGAGGGACACAGTGTGAACATATTCCTCCAGCCTCATCGCCCCGTGACTGTAAACAAGGCTGCTAAGGTTGGTTAGCCCACACAACAAATATATTTATTTAGGTTAAAAAAAAAAAACTCAATATATATTGTTATCGACCGATATGAATGACTTATATCGTGATATAGTTTTCAGCCATATCGCCCAGCCCTACGTTTAATTTTATTTTCCATTTGCAGTAAAACCAAATTGGAATACATTTGATAGAGTCCAGAAAATGCGTTGAATCTTCAATGTGCTGTATAAATAAAGATGACTTACGTACTTACTATTAGATGACCCCCAATGACCACAAAGCTGTTGCTGTAGTAACGTGTGGGGAATTTCAATGACGTTTAAACTGCGATTTTAGATAAAGTGTTGCTGTTCTGTTTTGCCCAAGTCTCGTCTCAAAACTTGAACTTGCTGCTCCCTAATGATGGAATAGTTCCCTCTGTATTTTAGAGCAGCTCCTTCATTGGAGGTTTTTAAATAAAGTCTAAAGTCACATTTGTGCGTTGACTTTTAACACCAACTGCACGGCAAAAAGTGATCAAAACTAAGTCAAAAATTGCCCCAATTTGAACACATTCTGACTGAGCCTTAACACAAGATTTACCAACAGGACAAAGCAAAATGATCTTGTTTTAAAAATATACAATAAAAGTCTCCCTTGGAATGAGAAAATATAGCCACAGTTCTTGAAATAAAACTAAATGGCTTTGTCCCATAGAAAAATCTGGTCAGAATGTGTCAGATTAAGATGAAAACCATCTGATTCGAGCAATTTTAACCTAATATTTTATCCATTATTTCAGTGTGAGATTTACTGTTTTCTTCCTTTTATCCCCTGTGTCTGTGTAAATGCGCTCCACAAAAACAACTGACACTGACATTGTTTTGCAGGTGTGAAACTCACGCTCTCGGCTCTCGTGGACGGGAAGAACGTGAACGGCGGCGGACACAAGGTCGGCCTGGGCTTCGAGCTGGAGGCTTAAGTCCGCTGTGGCCTTCTCCTCTGAGGTGGAAGATCACAAACTTTCATCCGACCGTGTTTGGCCTTAACCCCTCCGCCTCAACGACCACCTGTACTGTAATCTAACTAAAGCATTCTCGTGAATCCTCTTCAGGTGTTGACTTTTGACAGCAATACAGTGAGTGTCCTGTATACAGTATTTATGGAGAGAGAGAGATTTCAGCTCCGTTGTTGTAATAAACACTGCCGCTCAAAGGGTTTGGAGTCACTCAGTAAACTTGTAATGTCGAGATCTGGTCACTTACTAAATCTTGCTTCAGTATCTTTCAAAACTAATGAATTGTGTGTTTTTTTCCAATGAGAATTAACATTGAATAAATAAACAGTACAATCTAGATGAAATACAAAAGCGGTAACCACGTCTTCTTTTAGTTATGTCTTAAAGTTTATGTTTAAGGCTTACGAAAGTATTTTAATAAAACAAAGAGTGTAAAGAAGTAGTATCACTCACTCTTTTTGTTATTACTCCTTTGTTATATTTTGTACATGTACCTAAGTTGCTTGAACTAATTATTTCTATGCCCGCTTACTTGCTCGGAATGAATAAAAAAAAAAAAAAAGAAGCTAGCACATGAAGCTAACACAAGAAGCTAACACATGTTTTGGCGTAGGAGAAACAGATAGAGCTTTCTGTACCAAGAGATTTAGAAAGAAACAGAAGAAATACTGACCTTTCCTCACTGTAGGACAAGCAAAGGGTCTCTACAAGAAAGAAACAGCAAGACTAACAAGATCCACTGAGGACAATGCAACCGAAACCTCAAATCTGCAAATAAAAGTAGTACCTTAGACTGATTCTTTAGCCTCCTCTGGTCCACCCTTTACTAATCAATGTCTTGACTTAAACGTGTTTCGAAATTTACAGGAAGTTAATAATCTCGACGGTGACAACTCAACAGTTTCTGCGTGACAACAAACGTTAAGGCGGCGGTGAACCTCATCAGAAGTGCACTTTTCATTTCTTTCATTATGAAGTTACAGCACCTTACAATTAATGGTGGGGGGAAAAAAAGTCGATTCTATTCAGTATCGCGATATTTAGCAGTTAAATCAATACAGTAGACCAGTATCGATTTAGTAAGATTCAGCTCTCTTATGTGTGTAATAATCAGAGTTGAGTCTTATTTTCCTCAATTTGTGTAATGCCCTTGAATAATACGAAGGACATGAAACGCAATATATCGCAGAATCAAATCACAATATGTCAAGAATCGCAATAATATGGAATAGTGGTCCAAAATATCGCGATACTATTGAATTGTCACATTTTTACCAGTTCCCACCTGATTTACAATCTTCAGCTCAATCCATAAGTCATCCATTCAAAAAGGAGAGAACTAACCAGTCATTGATCATAAAGGATTGGGATTTTCTTCCGCTTTATCTGTTGCCGGGTCCATCTCTGCAGGAGTCTGAGTGGAAAGGGAAGTCTGGGCGCCTTGGGAACGGCTCCTTCTTTACCTGTGTATTTCTGTGCTGTGTTTGCATGTTGTGTGTCTTCTCTCAAACTGGTATTATAAAGTTCATTTGTGCTGTGCTCCAAACCGAAACAAGACACATATTTAACTCGTAAAAAAAAACTCATGGATTAATAAAAAATGTCATCTAATAAACGGCTCTTTGTTTTCTTATTTAATAAAGCAAATCACGGTGCAATACATAGTTCCCACATGACGTCACTACATACGGGGATTTGCCGACCCGGCGCCATTTGTGTTGGCATGCTGTGGGCAAAACAATAGAAAAAGAAGCTGAAACGTGTTAATGTCGTGATAAAGTTGAAAATGGTCATCTCCTGCTGGGTCAATGGATGTTCAAATCGTGCCGGAGGTTCCGTTAAACTTGGATTTTACAGTATACCCATCATTAGACTTCATGAATGTGAGAAGACTAAGCTTTTGTCAGAACAACCACGGAGGTTATGGCTTGCGAAGATAAACAGCAAGAAACTCCCTCAAAACACGCAAGAATATGCTCGGAGCACTTTGTGTCCGGTGCGTATCGTATCTTATATGTGTTTGACAGACGTATTTTACTCAGTACTAACTTGTGTATGCTGATATCTGGTAACTTGAGAGTTTCATTATTTAGCGTTAGATTACTTTATTATGAGGAGGATCGGTGTCGCGTCCGAGGCTCTCGAGGGCAACGTAAATGTATTAAATAGATAATAATAGTTCTATGGGTGGGCTAAAACAATGTTCACAAACAGCATTGCTTCTGTAAAAAGATCTGTGTCATTAAAATAAACTGCTCTTTACGCCTGGAAAATTCAGTTGCCCACCATTCACCAAAACATACGGTCAAAAACGCGGAAATAAACAATAACAGCAATCCAGAGTGTCCGTGTGGCATTAGCATTAATTAAATTAATTGTTAATATAATTAAAATAATTAAATGGAGCTCCAACTGGTATTAAATCAAAAGGCTTTGAGAAATGTTTGCATTGCTTGTTAATTTTTGCTGCATAATTTGATCAAATATGTAAAACATGTCCGTAGCACGTTAAACTGTGCTGCCATTGTATTAATATACAATTATTTGCTCAAAAGTTGCCCTTTTTTTTCCAATTTGCGTTTGAATATCTACATTTATTCTCATTCTTCTGTTTAATGGAATGCACAAACACAGCAGCGTGCCATCAAAGATGGCGTCTCCGAGGAGGTCATGTTACATTTGTTAGGATTTAAGCAGACAGAGACGGATCGTGGTGTGCCAAACTCTGGAAGTTTATTTAAGTTTCTCTCAAGTTCCACTGTTTTACTCTGTTTCTTTCTCTCAGACAGAATAAAGGCAGTACACAGTTTATATAGTCATTGTCACGTCACACATCGAAAGACATACGTGTCACAAAGAGACAGTCAAATCATAGTCATAACATGGAGTCCTTGTAGAGTCCTTGTACAGTCCTGCACGTAGGCCATATTGCTATCTAATACTAACACCCTCCCCTTTGATCACATAATCACATGTGATCACTCAAATCGATCAATCAATAAAATGGAAAAAGAAAAAAAAAAAATTCCAAAAAAAACTTCAAAAAATTATTAAAAACAAAGAAAATTGTATGCATTAAACTCATAATCATCAAATCAATATCAGTGGATTTTATCCTCTATCCTGGGAAAAAATAAAAAACAAAAACAAACAAAAAACAAATCAAAACTAAAAACAAACAAACAATAAAAACAAACAAAAACTATTGGACATCACAAGAACTCAGCAGATTCAGTCAAAACACAGACAAAAACGAGCTGAGTCTCAATCTGAAGCTAATTTCACTTTTATAACTCTATACATTTATTCTAATGCTAATTGTTTACACTACACTCACTTATTTCACTGTTTATTTTCACTTTAATCTTAGACTGTGTACTGTTGTAAATTTACTTTCACTATTCACTACTAGTTTAAAACTATTCTGATCTATTCACCATAATTCTCTCTTGTTCTGTGGTTTACACTCTAATTATCAGCTCAGCTCCGGAAGTGTAACGGCACGCGCTCTGGGGCTTTCACAATAATTCTGCTAATATTACACAGTTATTAATTTCAGTCAGGTAGTGTGTTTCTTAAAAGAACATCCAATAAAGCACAGGAAACACAACAAAATCGATGGAAATAATTTTCCATCGAGGCATAATGCCAACGAGGCACATAATGAAGGTGCCTCGTTGGTTTTTTAAGAATGTGAAATAAATTCCTGAAGTTTAAAATATATTGATAAAGCTTGTGTCATGGAAAAATGCTAAAAACTACCCCCTGTATAATAACAATAGTATACCTAGTATTTATATACCCTTTTATCTAAAGAACTCATTATAGATCCATGGACCTCACACATGGCATTATTCATTCACACTGTACATGTGGTGGTAAACTGCCCCTGCTGAAAAAAATCACAGAAACCAGTAGGAAGTATGGATCACGTTTGAAACAACTGTGGTTAAAGCGGTCCGTATGCACAAGTCAGTGATTTCCCCCTTGAATGTTTTAGTTGAAGCAAACATATCTCTTGGTGCTGTCGCAGACGCTCAGACTGTCCACGATGCTTCTGGTATAAAATCAAATGCATTCGGCAACAATTTTGGTCGTGTCGTTTCTGTAACAACAAAAATGTCTTCTGCTATACTCGACCCCAGACCTCTGCATCTTTTGTCACATCCAATAGGAATATTTTAATGGATTCTATTTGTGTTGAAATGGTTCGTAAAGGGTTTTAATTGCACAAAGTCTGTGGTGGTAAAAATACTTCTTTTCTACATTGACAAAGGAGGAGTCCACGTCTGGGGTCAAAATCAACACAGTTAAGCGAGGTACGTTCAAATACATAAATAACGGTATATGTTCAGCAAAAAGTACAGTTAGCTAGCTACTTGTAACGACGCTACAAGCTTAATGTTTCAGTAGCTTGATGGTAACGTCGCTGTTTACAAAACTAACTTTTTATAAGCTCTTGTGCGAAAACCAGAAATGTCCAGGAGAGAATGGCAACAACATAGTTTCCTACAGCCACAACACGAGTACTTTAGGAAGACCGGGGCCTCTTTACACGGACACGTTGGGAATCGGATTGGCCTTTTGTTTACACGGCGGGGGTGAAAACGCAAGCATTGAAAAAAGGCAAAGGTAACAATGGCGGCGGATTAGCTAGTTTTGTTATAATAGATCCATGATTGTTCACGTCTCTTCGGTGGCCTGAGGAGGATGTTGTTGAGGTAGTGGTTATACCAGTGATAAAGTTCCACTGCTCACTACTGGCCGGGCACTAGAACTACATTGTTTTCCTTCGCCTACGCTTTGCACTTTGAATCCAGAGTAGAGTTGTTTTTGCGAATTGCGTCGCAGCCTTTCTGTTTAAACGGATTCCCTGCGTAACGTGGGCCCGTATCGCAGCCCTGAACTCGCGGGCTGCATGCCTCACCAATTCTCCCCACGAAGTTATGGACAGTCTCATTATGATGATTACCATCTCGTGCAGCCCAATTTCAAAATTTTCTAGATAATAATTTATAGGGACACAACGACAGCAGACATAAGTGGGATGATTTTTAGTAGGTTTATTTAGGTTACAAGGATACATTTTGCGTCATATCCTTTGTTTGACGCTAGTTTGGGCCATGTTTTGCCTTTAGCAGGTACTTAAAGAACTTCTCACCCCCGCTCCTTTACGTCACTCACATTTCCTTTTCGAATCTCCCTCCAAATGGGCGCAACCTGGAGGACTAAAGGGGACAGGCGGGGGGGTGAATGTTGGGTGGGTCTAGGCTGTAATTGACACTTGCCAATTAAAGCTAAAAAAAAAACTACAATATTCAACAAAAACGCTATTAACACTACACTTATTAATAATATTTTTTATTTTTTTATTTTATTTTTTTAATTTATTTGCTACAAACAGAATACAAACAGCTATGCTAATAAAAATCTACCTAAATGCTTGTGAGATTTCATAACACTTTGAAGCAACTTTTGTTAAAGTTAAACTCATCATTCTATCAATGTGCAGAAGCCAGTACTTTTCCCTTGTTTTGTCTATCTGAAGGCCAAGCTACATGGCACCGTGGAAGCTGCTGATTGGAGGTCTCCATGCCTCCGCATGGTGAGACATCGTTTACATTATGGTCTTGTTATCTTTACACAGTCCATATTCCAGTCAATATGACACTGAGCAAGAAATGTCCCTAGAAATATCTTTGCTTTTGATAACTATCCACTGTTAATACTTTACTTTATTGAAAGATCTGAGAGCTGTGCTGAGGGAACAGCAGGAGCTGAACCGGGCTGAGCAGGAGCAGAACCGGGCACAGAGAGAAAAACACTTTCAGTGGCTCCTCGCTGACGCCCGAGAGGCCAGAGAGTTTGAAGCCACAATGAGGAGGGAGAATGTTGCATTAAACCAGTCACTCATTGGTCTCCTGGGCCAGCTCGTCCAAGCATTCTGTGACCGGCGTACTGGACATCAGAATGGTTTATGAATGATTGCACAACTAGTGGGTGTAATTTGTTTCCAGTACAGCAGGAATGTTCAACTGTGCTACAAAGACACACAAAAACTAACATGAACAACTATCTCAAAAGACACTTTGGACTTTGTAAATAGCTGATTTTGCACTTTTGTTTTTAATAAATGTGTGCGTGTATAAACATCGTTTCATTCATTTGTCTGTACACAGGCAGAAAAGGGGTTAAAAATTCCTACCCTGTACTTTATTTACATTACATACATTGTCAGTAAATCTTTAAAACTGTGGTAATTTTATGAACAAGGGTGGAAGCATAATTCTAAAATACAAAATGGTTTTATTCTTAGTCAAGACATAAAAGGACAAAATGTTTAAGCATTTAGCAAACTGAGGCATCAGACCCTCCCTAACATGTCTGCACCCTGTGCCACTGTTGCCACAGGCTCGACTGCTGATGCTACAGGTGTCACATGGTCTCTCCATGGTGTTTGCAAAGATTGTGCAATGCACTCATCAAATGGGATGAGGGCTTTTGCCGGCTAACACATGCACAATTATAACATTTTCCAGCCCTGCGGCTATTTTGAAACTACCCACAGAAGGTGAAAGCGGTGGCACATGAGTCGGCCTCTACATCCACTGGAAGCCCCATCAGATCCATCAGACAGGGGACTCAATATTTTTCATCCTTAGACATTGGATATCAGTGGATCAGAGGGACTTGAAATGCAATATTGCTTGCTTGCTTATGCAGGAAAGAAACTAATTAAACTTAAAAAGAAATGTAAATATGCCATTGGTAAACCGACTGAAGTTTATGCTTTTTTTTCTTTAGTTTCTTTCAAAACCTTTTGCTACAGATTGAGAAAAGGAATGAAAGCGACAAGGAAGCCAGTCTTCATGAAACTTCACGAGAAACTCAGGAAAAATACCTCCATGAAAAATAAATGTAGAGGATGCTAACTGAAGACAAAGTGAAACATTGACAGAAAAACAAGCTGTCTGAGGAGCTGAACCTTTGTTTTCCCTTCACAAGTGCTTTTGTTCATGGACAGCACCTACTACAGCTTAATTTTCCAACTTTACTATAGTGTTTCAGTACAGAGCATTTCATCCCATGGAAAATTCAATATTTTTCTATAACAAAAAAACACAACAGCTATCAGAGCACTTTACAAAACCATTGAATTTGCCGACACAGATCAGAGAATCAAACCATCGGTTAAATCCCAAACAATAGAGAACAAATCAGCATTGGTCCATAGGTGTTGATAAATGCTCATAAATCATCACCTCAGTCCTTTTAGTCAGACCCACTAAAACTCTAAAACCCAGTGGGAAAAATAATAAAAAGTGGGTGCTTTGTCCACACTGACCAGAGTGAATATACAGCACCACTTGTTTGCTGCAGGTAATCCCAGTGGTGATGTGTCCAACAGGGGCCCTGAGCTGCCTTTCTGTGTGTGGAGGTGAAAACTGTCTGTACACAGAACCAGAACCTGAAGTGAACATCCCAGAACCAGACGCAGAAGGAAAGGTCATTTTCAAAATCTTTCAAAAGGGTTGTAGGCCCACTGATGGTTATGATGTGCAGGGATGAACAAGAGAAAATCAAATGTTTGTGTTATCTGTGAATGTTTAAGAATTCTCTTTAGTACTCTTACGGTCCAAGTGTATATTTTCCACCTAAAACAATGACAAGACCCCAATCTATTTGCTTGATACAAATATAGGTGCTAACGTAAACCGTCCCCGCACACTGCATCAATATTTTGTGTAGCTAGCAACCATACTTTCACCGCATCCTTGCTCTCTCTCTCTCTGTCTGGTGTCTCTCAATGGTCTCTCTCTCTCCAGGAATAATGACTTGGTTTTTTAATGTTTAACAACACTTTCCCATTCTGTAGATTACTCTGGGGCTCACAACAATAGTGCACAGAGTATTTGGGTGATATGTGATTTGTTCTCTTAATGAAATAGTCCAAATATTAAATGTTGCTGCTCTGGAAACATTCTAATCAAGCACAAAAACACTCAGTGGCCAACATATTTTACTCATGATTATACAGTAACACAGTCAGCTCAGTCACACAGAAGCAGTAATAATCAACATTTTGAAAAACGTGATAGTCTTATAAAGACCATAGTAGACCTGCCTCAGCTCCATTACATGTTTTCAGGAACAGTAATTCACAATAAAACATTACATTTAAAACTTGAATTTGTTCTATACAAAAATGCAGTCAGCATCTGTTACTTATAAAGGAGGCCAACACTTTGCAACGTCTTGATGCATGGATTCAGGGATCCACTGGCGGTACGCAGACAGCAGGTCTGTGGAGCAAGAGGTTCCGTTTTAGTAACAATCAGTGAGAACAGGGTTAATACCAGAACTGCTCCTCCTCCTCATAACTTAATACAAGACAGTTGGATCAATTATGGATCGCATTTATGGTTTGAACAGGTTTCTTACAGAAGTAGGAAGTGGCCATCTTCAGTGTAATACATTAACATTTGTCTGAGACCCTCTGTTCCACTGGGGATTACAGGACAATAAAACTAGCTAGAAACAAACTTATTTTTGCTGATGAAAGTAGACAATCCAGTCTTTCAGAATCTGGTTTCATATTTCACACAGTCTTAGGAAATAATATTCTGGGGGTCTTGAGAATCAGTAAAATCATCAAAGACGGCTGGCAGTCAATGAATTAAGTATCTCAGGCAATTCAAAAAGTGGGAAGTATGTGTGAACGACAACTGACCCCATGTTCTTTTGTATTACTTTCTGTTGTATTTTATGTTAAAAATTGTATTAAAAATGTAAGAAAAATAAATGAATAATAAAACCCCCATAAAACAGTTGAACAAGAAAGCGTTTTTATAATTTTCATACTGCTACTATCGCTACCATTCATTCTGCTGCCGCTACCTTAAAGTGCTAAAGCTAGGGATGTTATTTCCTTTACTATGACGTGATTGTTCATTTATCTTGTGCTGTGTGCTCCTCATTCTTCCCCATAATGAATAAAGAATCTCTACTGTCTGCTGCTACTGCAACAACTTTGGTTGCCACAGCTCCTCAAACTACTACTCCTAAATTCTGCAGCTTATTTCTATTATTGTAACCCTATTTTATGAAGATAATAGTTTACGGCTATACTAATTTTATAACATATTAATACTGCTATGTCATAACGATGTTTAATTCAAAATGATCGATAATGAAGCGGTGTTGTGTCCATCTGAGTCCTTTCTGTTCTTACACTTGTCCTCAGTCTTCCAAACAGCTGTGAGCGCCTCCCTGCAGTTCACCTTCTTGGACACCAGGGCGCTCAGCAGCACTTCTGTCCGCGGCTGGAGCCTGGAGCCAAAGTCAAACACAAGATTAGGACCTCACACAAATATGCGTCCTCACAATTCTTAATCTTTGTGTCTTACTTTGCCCACGTCTTCAGCATTATGGTGGGGTTGGACAGCAGGTGCGCACGGTGCTTCTTTAGTTTAGGGCAAATCTAACACACAAAGGGTCAATGCAATCTAGAGGAACAATATATTTAATTTTTTCCTGTTTCCAAAAAAGATGTATTTAAGAGAGAGTGAAAGAGCCTTGAGCACAAAGCAAGTAGTGGGAGAGAGGTGTAGGGTCAGAGAGTGTTTGGACCGGTGTGTTGTCAAGAGTGTGTTGTCGGTCTCATACCTTCGGTGGTAGTTTTGTATTACTGTTTGTACCGCACAGTTGTATGTTTGAGAATTCTAGTGCATGGTATTGTTAAAACTGTGTGTGTGTGATGGGGGTTGCATACAAATAAGCATCTGTATTATGCAAGTTCGAAATAAATAAAATATATTAGGTTAAATACAGGATATAAAACAGTGGATCAAAGTACCTGTCCCTCAAGAAGGAATCTTGCAAACAGTTTGTATTTTTCCAAACCCTCTGGATACTCCATCTCCACAGCAGGAAGAGGCCAACCCACCCTGACTGTTGGAGAAAGAACAGTTTGATTATCTCAGGTTTTTTATAATGATTTTATTAACCAGGAAATAATAATAATAATAACCTGGCTCATCTCTGGATTCACTAAGACTATCTTTAGCAGTTTACTTTTAAATGTAAGTCCATAGGAGCAAGAGTGAGTTGGTGCTAAACTTTGTCCATGAGCACTTCCCTTATTGGACTTCATTGAGCTAGCGGGTTAGCATTTTCCATACAGTCTATGAATATAATCTAACATGGTGCAATGAAATAGTGGGGTAACTGAGTGTAGAAATGACATCAGTTGTTGTTATGGTCTAACTAGTTAAATATGTTTGGACATGTTCCTGTCGTTAGCCTGGACGGAGCTAAAAACGACGTGGGATCAGTTTTTTGTGGGACTCACAGAAGGTGCTCGGCTGCTGGCATCGTATCGTTCCCGAGGAGGAGCAGAGCCACGGGGCCGGAGCGTCGAGGGGAGGAGAGAAGTGACAGTACTGCGGCAAGAGCTGAGGGACCCACTGAGCCTCGACCGCCGACACACCTGCAGGGACCGGAGCGGGTTTTCACACCGACAACAAACAACAGTTCAGAATCAGAGATATTTGTGTTGCCATTTTTATGTAGGAAGCCACAAACTAGGAAATGTATTTTTTATCTGTAAACAAGTTGTAACTAGAGTAAAGGGTAAGGGCATGAATGAGAAAATCTTCATAACATTTCCTAAAGTTACAACTATATTCATTATTAAATACACACAAATTGGGATACAATTTTTGATGCAGTATCATTGGAAAGAAATATATCTGCTTAATCTGATTATTGGGCATTTTTAGTTCTATTTCATCCCTTCAGACCGCCAGAGGGCGGTGCATAGCACTGAATGTTCCCTTCGCGCATGCGCAGTTCGAGTAATAATACCAAATGAGTCACACCTGTGACCCCCTGGGTGACACACCGGAGGTAATAAATTCCAGCGTCATCCAGCACTCTGTTCCTTTTTTCTTCTCGCGTGCGGTTCGAATCGTTGCTGCTTGAACTTCGTCAACGTCTGTCGCTGAAAGCCCTCTTCATCGGAGCTGCGGTTCGCCCTCCGTGGGGCGCGACGGTGACGTTGTCCTTCGAGTATTTATTGGTGTTTTCTGTACTATATGCGTGTGTATTGGTTGGTGTGAAGGCTGCTGTGGCGCCTGCTCCTCCGTCAGTACTTTCTTTTGGTACATGCATTTCGTGGTGTGAAGGCTGCGGTTCGTTGGCCTGCTCCTCCGCCTGTGCATGTTTGAGTTAGCTTTTGCTAACTGTGTATTGAGTGGTGTGAGGCTGCGGTTCGTTAGCCCGCTCCTCCATCAGTTCTTATTTGGGTTAGCCTTTTGCTACCTGTGAATTGTGTGGTGTGAGGCTGCGGTTCCGCTCCTCCATCAGTTCTTAGTTGGGTTAGTTTTTGCTACCCGTGTCCTCTGTGGTGTGAAGGCTGCTGTTCGCGCGCCCGCTCCTCCATCAGTTCTTCTTTGGGTTAGTTTTTGTTACCGGTGTATTCTGTGGTGTGAAGGCTGCGGTTCGTTGTCCCGCTCCTCCATCAGTTCTTGTTTGGGTTAGCATTTGCTGCCTGTGTTTATTCTGTGGCCGGTGTATTGTGTGGTGTGAAGGCTGCTGTTAGCGCGCCCTCTCCTCCATCACTACTTTATTTTTGAGTTGGCGTTTTACTGCCGGTGTATTGTGTGGTGTGAAGGCTGCTATTCGCGCGTCCGCTCCTCCACCGTGCTATATTTGGCTTTTCTGTTGTGGAACTGCAGTACGTTGATTCGGTTCTGCAGTTTGTATACCGTTTGGGATTAGTTACATATTGAATTAACGACACAGACAGACGAAACAAGAATAATAATTTGATAATAATAATAAAGAGAAAAAAAAAAAAAAACACCTTGTTATGGACGGGTCACATGCGTGTGTGGGCTGCGGGTCAGCACTCGATGTTGATGACGGCCATGACCTGTGTCCGGCGTGCCTCGGCCCCACTCACTTGAGGGAGGCAGTGTCCGATAATCCGTGCATGAACTGCAGCTGCTTGCCCTGGGCTGTTCAGCTGAACAGACGAAGGCAGCTGGTTCAGCTGCCTTCGTCTGGCGACGGTGGTAGTTTGCCAGTGGGACCTGCTGTGGCTCCGCGCCCTCGGCGTTCTAAGCGCCGTGCTGAGGCCTGTGCTTCAGGGGAGCGGTCTGATGGCCATGGTCCTTCCAAGCAGGCCAAGCCGGATGCTGTCCTGGTGTCGAGGGTGGAGCAGTTATCTGCAGAGTTGGAGGCGATGAAATCTGCATTCCAGGCACGTTGTGCTGCTGATGCCGTCTCTGGGGCTGGTTCTTGCTCCATGCCATCCCTCCATCCGGAAGAGGATGTGCTTTCTCTGGCGGCATCTGCTTCGTGCTTCCGGGACGAGGATGACGCGCGGTCCCTTTCGGGGGACGATGCTTATTCTTCCGCACATAGTGTGTCCAGCCGGTCTGGTGACTGCTCAATGCAGGAGGTTCTTCGCAGGGCCTTATCCCGTCTGCAGGTGGAACTTCCCCAGTCGGGACAGGCTGACCCTGGCAGTGCTTTTTTCAGGTGTGGTGGTTCGTCTCCTGCTTTTGTTGTGCCCCCGTCCGCGGAGTATCTGAAGGAGCTACACGCGTGCTGGAGGGACCCCAGCCGTCTCTCTAAGCCAGGGGTGCCCAAACCTTTTGCTTCCAAGGGCCAAAGTAAAAATTTGCCAGTGGGCCGCGGGCCAAATACACCAATATTATGCATGAAACACAAATAAATGTAGATTTGATCAAGTTCTTTTAAATGCATTAATTATTGTCTAGCAGTGCAAATCACAGCTGAATGAATGAAATCAACACAGTCTTAGTGAAATGGAGGCTCCTGGGAAATATGCAGGTTTGAGGAGACTACAGTACGGAAAGATTCCGGCCGGGTAATCAGGGTCCAGAGGAGGGAGATTTTCTGTCATGGCTTATTTAAAGGTTAAAATCATATAATAAAACCTCAAAAAGAGAACAGAAACATACATTTTGTGTGCACCATGTGCACTTGTATATTGTAAATAGTAACTAACTCTATTTTAAATTTTAAAAGTGTTTTTTATTCTTTATTTTTATTATCTCTGTTGCACTGAGCCAAAGCAATTTCCAAGTCTATTTTCATATATTTATTTTGAACAAAAGTTTTTAACTACATTTGAATCATATTACTTTATCTTAGCTTTTATCAAAAAGGGGAGACATCACTGATCAATAGATCTGGTTTTAGCACACTTTTAAACAATACATTTTAACATTAAGTAATGAATTTGGGAACATAATTGCTAACTGCATTTTCTAAACATGATCAGGTTTTAACTCTTTTAACTTAATATTTTTAACATAGGACAAGTATTCTCAATTAGTAGTGAACTGAATATTAAACTAACAAAATCAGACAAGTTAACCATGATTTGTTCCTGGAGTTTTGTTTTGTTTTGCCTAAACACAGTACAAAATTTATAAACAATCAAAACAAAGTAACTGTTAAAGAGTCCGAGTTTCCGCTCCTCCAAAGGGCTCTTGAACGCATCATAAAACTCCGCGTAAGTTCTGTCTGACATTAAATGATCGCGAGTGAGGACGGCGCTTACCGGCTTCTTTCATGGGGTTGTAGAAGGGTTTGTCTTGCACAGTATTTGTTGCTTCTACTTGCGTGGATCGTGCGCTGCGATCCCTGCTTGTCCTGCTTGAACTCACTCTGAAGTGTTTGTGTCCGTCCTTTTTAACACACCGGGTGGGTGCGGATTGCGCAAGTGAATAGTTCCACTCGCCATTTCCCTCCGGTGAGGAGGGGGAGTGGCAGTTCGGCAGCACAATCCTCTCAATTTGATAAAACATTAAATAGCTCCAAAAAATAATAATAGTAGGCTGAAAAAAAAGAACATAAAGGGGCCTTGCATCCAATTGTTTTGAAAGATGTGTTTGATTTTAAAAAACAGTTTAGTGCAAGTTGATGTGAACCATGAGTGAGGAGTGTATCTCGATACACCAGTAAAGTACTGGACAGTCGGAGTTCAGAGGGCTACTCTGCGCCCGCGAGACCTCAGACACGTCACTTGTTTGTTCAGCGAGGCTGAGGGACGCAGATAGAAACTTACAGCGGAGGTGGGCAATGTTTGGCGGGCCAAGTGAAATGGTCTGGCGGGCCAACTTTGGCCCGCGGGCCCCACTTTGGGCACCCCTTTTAACCCCGAAAAAAGCCCTTAAATCCGGCTTAAAATAGGGCCATGCGGGTCCCAGAACCGGGGGGATTCTGTGGAGGTTCTATCCCCGAAAAAAGCTTAGAAATCCGGACATAAATGCAGCACTGGAAAGCCAGAGACCCAGGGGGGTCCTCGGAGGTTTTAACCCCGAAAAAAGCCCTTAAATCCGGCTTAAAATAGGGCCATGCGGGTCCCAGAACCGAGGGGGATTCTGTGGAGGTTCTATCCCCGAAAAAAGCTTAGAAATCCGGACAGAAATCCGGACATAAATGCAGCACTGGAAAGCCTGAGACCCAGGGGGGTCCTCTGAGGTTTTAACCCCGAAAAAAGCCCTTAAATCCGGCTTAAAATAGGGCCATGCGGGTCCCAGAACCGAGGGGATTCTGTGGAGGTTCTATCCCCGAAAAAAGCTTAGAAATCCGGACATAAATGCAGCACTGGAAAGCCTGAGACCCAGGGGGGGTCCTCGGAGGTTTTAACCCCGAAAAAAGCCCTGAAGTACGGCTTGAAATAGAGCCATCACAGGCCTGGTGCTCCAAGCAAATGTGAAAATAATTCTAAGTGCTGTGGGCAGGATTCGAACCTGCGTGGGAGGACCTCAATGACTCCCCATTCCATCGCCTTTGCCACTCGGCCACAGCGAGCCCAGTACTACAGCATAGACACTTAGGTTTTTTGGCAAAACACTTAGGCTGATTTGTAGGCTGAGGGGTGGGAAAGGCCTGGTTCTCCAGGGGGGCTATGTTCATGTGTGGGGGCTACCAGGACCTCCAGACCGGTTAGGGTTAGGTCTGGGGAGGGCCTGGGTCTCCATGGGGGTTAAGGTTAGGTGTGGGGAAGGCCTGGACCTCCAGGGGGGCTATGTGCAGGCGTGGGGGCGGCCTGGATCTCCTTGGGGGTTAAGGTTAGGTGTGGGGAAGGCCTGGATCTCTATGGGGGTTAAGGTTAGGTGTGGGGAAGGCCTGGACCTCCATGGGGGTTAAGGTTAGGTGTGGGGAGGGCCTGGACCTCCAGGGGGGCTATGTGCAGGCGTGGGGGGCGGCCTGGTTCTCTATGGGGGTTATGGTTAGGTGTGGGGAAGGCCTGGATCCCCATGGGGGTTAAGGTTAGGTGTGGGGAAGGCCTGGATCTCCATGGGGGTTAAGGTTAGGTGTGGGGAGGGCCTGGATCTCCGTAGGGGTTAAGGTTAGGTGTGGGGAGGGCCTGGATCTCCATGGGGGTTAAGGTTAGGTGTGGGGAGGGCCTGGATCCCCATGGGGGTTAAGGTTAGGTGTGGGGAAGGCCTGGACCTCCAGGGGGGCTATGTGCAGGCGTGGGGGGCGGCCTGGATCTCCATGGGGGTTAAGGTTAGGTGTGGGGAGGGCCTGGGTCTCCATGGGGGTTAAGGTTAGGTGTGGGGAAGGCCTGGACCTCCAGGGGGGCTATGTGCAGGCGTGGGGGGCGGCCTGGATCTCCATGGGGGTTAAGGTTAGGTGTGGGGAGGGCCTGGATCCCCATGGGGGTTAAGGTTAGGTGTGGGGAAGGCCTGGACCTCCAGGGGGGCTCTGTGCAGGCGTGGGGGCGGCCTGGACCTCCATGGGGGTTAGGGTTAGGTGTGGGGAAGGCCTGGACCTCCAGGGGGGCTATGTGCAGGCGTGGGGGGCGGCCTGGATCTCCAGGGGGGCTCTGTGCAGGCGTGGGGGCGGCCTGGACCTCCATGGGGGTTAGGGTTAGGTGTGGGGAAGGCCTGGACCTCCAGGGGGGTTAAGGTTAGGTGTGGGGAACGCCTGGATCCCCATGGGGGTTAAGGTTAGGTGTGGGGAAGGCCTGGATCCCCATGGGGGTTAAGGTTAGGTGTGGGGAAGGCCTGGATCTCCAGGGGGTTAAGGTTAGGTGTGGGGAGGGCCTGGATCTCCATGGGGGTTAAGGTTAGGTGTGGGGAGGGCCTGGATCCCCATGGGGGTTAAGGTTAGGTGTGGGGAAGGCCTGGACCTCCAGGGGGGCTATGTGCAGGCGTGGGGGGCGGCCTGGATCTCCATGGGGGTTAAGGTTAGGTGTGGGGAAGGCCTGGACCTCCAGGGGGGCTATGTGCAGGCGTGGGGGCGGCCTGGATCTCCATGGGGGTTAAGGTTAGGTGTGGGGAAGGCCTGGACCCCCAGGGGGGCTATGTGCAAGCGTGGGGGGCGGCCTGGATCTCCAGGGGGGCTCTGTGCAGGCGTGGGGGCGGCCTGGACCTCCATGGGGGTTAGGGTTAGGTGTGGGGAAGGCCTGGACCTCCAGGGGGGCTATGTGCAGGCGTGGGGGGCGGCCTGGATCTCCATGGGGGTTAAGGTTAGGTGTGGGGAGGGCCTGGATCCCCATGGGGGTTAAGGTTAGGTGTGGGGAAGGCCTGGACCTCCAGGGGGGCTATGTGCAGGCGTGGGGGGCGGCCTGGATCTCCATGGGGGTTAAGGTTAGGTGTGGGGAAGGCCTGGACCTCCAGGGGGGCTATGTGCAGGCGTGGGGGCGGCCTGGATCTCCATGGGGGTTAAGGTTAGGTGTGGGGAACGCCTGGATCCCCATGGGGGTTAAGGTTAGGTGTGGGGAAGGCCTGGATCCCCATGGGGGTTAAGGTTAGGTGTGGGGAAGGCCTGGATCTCCATGGGGGTTAAGGTTAGGTGGGGGAGGGCCTGGATCTCCGTAGGGGTTAAGGTTAGGTGTGGGGAGGGCCTGGATCTCCATGGGGGTTAAGGTTAGGTGTGGGGAGGGCCTGGATCCCCATGGGGGGTTAAGGTTAGGTGTGGGGAAGGCCTGGACCTCCAGGGGGCTATGTGCAGGCGTGGGGGGCGGCCTGGATCTCCATGGGGGTTAAGGTTAGGTGTGGGGAAGGCCTGGACCTCCAGGGGGGCTATGTGCAGGCGTGGGGGCGGCCTGGATCTCCATGGGGGTTAAGGTTAGGTGTGGGGAAGGCCTGGACCTCCAGGGGGGCTATGGGGCGTGGGGGGGCGGCCTGGATCTCCTGGGGGTTAGGTTAGGTGTGGGGAGGCCTGGATCTCATGGGGGTTAAGGTTAGGTGTGGGGAAGGCCTGGACCTCCATGGGGGTTAAGGTTAGGTGTGGGGAAGGCCTGGACCTCCAGGGGGGCTATGTGCAGGCGTGGGGGGCGGCCTGGATCTCCATGGGGGTTAAGGTTAGGTGTGGGGAAGGCCTGGATCCCCATGGGGGTTAAGGTTAGGTGTGGGGAAGGCCTGGATCCCCATGGGGGTTAAGGTTAGGTGTGGGGAGGGCCTGGATCTCCGTGGGGGTTAAGGTTAGGTGTGGGGAGGGCCTGGATCTCCATGGGGGTTAAGGTTAGGTGTGGGGAGGGCCTGGATCCCCATGGGGGTTAAGGTTAGGTGTGGGGAAGGCCTGGATCCTCCAGGGGGTAGTGCAGGCGTGGGGGGGCCTGGATCTCCATGGGGGTTAAGGTTAGGTGTGGGGAGGGCCTGGATCTCCATGGGGGGCTTAAGGTTAGGTGTGGGGAAGGCCTGGACCTCCAGGGGGGCTATGTGCAGGCGTGGGGGCGGCCTGGATCTCCATGGGGGTTAAGGTTAGGTGTGGGGAAGGCCTGGACCTCCAGGGGGGCTATGTGCAGGCGTGGGGGCGGCCTGGATCTCCATGGGGGTTAAGGTTAGGTGTGGGGAAGGCCTGGACCTCCAGGGGGGCTATGTGCAGGCGTGGGGGGCGGCCTGGATCTCCAGGGGGGCTCTGTGCAGGCGTGGGGGCGGCCTGGACCTCCATGGGGGTTAGGGTTAGGTGTGGGGAAGGCCTGGACCTCCAGGGGGGTTAAGGTTAGGTGTGGGGAACGCCTGGATCCCCATGGGGGTTAAGGTTAGGTGTGGGGAAGGCCTGGATCCCCATGGGGGTTAAGGTTAGGTGTGGGGAAGGCCTGGATCTCCATGGGGGTTAAGGTTAGGTGTGGGGAGGGCCTGGATCTCCGTAGGGGTTAAGGTTAGGTGTGGGGAGGGCCTGGATCTCCATGGGGGTTAAGGTTAGGTGTGGGGAGGGCCTGGACCTCCATGGGGGTTAAGGTTAGGTGTGGGGACGGCCTGGACCTCCAGGGGGGCTATGTGCAGGCGTGGGGGCGGCCTGGATCTCCATGGGGGTTAAGGTTAGGTGTGGGGAACGCCTGGATCCCCATGGGGGTTAAGGTTAGGTGTGGGGAAGGCCTGGATCTCCATGGGGGTTAAGGTTAGGTGTGGGGAAGGCCTGGATCTCCATGGGGGTTAAGGTTAGGTGTGGGGAAGGCCTGGATCTCCATGGGGGTTAAGGTTAGGTGTGGGGAGGGCCTGGATCCCCATGGGGGTTAAGGTTAGGTGTGGGGAAGGCCTGGACCTCCAGGGGGGCTATGTGCAGGCGTGGGGGGCGGCCTGGATCTCCATGGGGGTTAAGGTTAGGTGTGGGG